ATAATAAGGGTGCCTCAATGCTTTTGAATTGGCACCCTAATTATATAAAGCTGGTCCAAATCTGTCCATCTTCATTTAAAAAAGTGTACTCCAGTAGATTAAGTCCTAAAGACTAGGGCAGGGGTTCTCAAACTAGGGTCACAGGGGTCCACGAGCTGTGTGTTGGGGGTCCTTAAAAGATTTCAGTAAATTGGTAATTTGTTTTTTRTTTTAAAAAGTTCATATGGGGAACAGTGCATTAGTAAAACAAGTATACTAAAACAAACAAAAAAAAATATTGCCATGACATTTAGGGGTTAACCATTTTAAAACAGCATTGATTTATAAGGGGGTCCCTGGAATTTTTTTCACCTTTGTAAGGGGTCCCCAGACCCAAAAGGTTTGAGAACCCCTGCATGTGAGCACTAGAAAATGACTGAGGCTTWTTTTTAAAAAATGGTTGCACAAAATGCATCCACATGGCTCACTTTTTTTTAAAATACTCAGAATTTATGAGACAACTCACCATTTTTCTTCACAATTTTGAGTTTTCAACTGTTCTCAGACAGTCACAGCCAGATAAGACACTATGTTTAGTATTTTAAGGTTAGTAATGTTGAGGTGGCTTTTTGTTGTCATTTCACACGTGATTTACTAGAATAATTTCTGCAGCCAGATGTTTCAGAAAGAGCAGCAGAATACTAAGAAATGTTTGAAGCCCTATTGTTTTCTAATTTCCCTAATCTCCTCTACCTCTCTGCACTCCTTGGCTGCACTTGTTTCACTTCCCTCCCTCCTGTTTATTTGTTCAGATCTGGACAGACACAGAGCTGCCAGTGACCCGAACACCATACCAGCCATCCCAGTAGTTGGTGTCTTGTCCTCCGTGCTCAAAGGAGATGAAGCGCAGCCCAGGGCCATAATCAGAAAACGTATGGATCACCTGGAATCCAAACAGAAAGAGATTAYTTTGGCTGCTTGTTGTGTAACAGATCAAAATATCACCTGGCCTTTCTTTATCTGCATCAACTGACAGAAAAATTTAGGTTACTGTCGYAACCCCGGTTCTCTGAGTAGCATGAGTGAGYGTCTCACRTTGGGAACRCCTTCGRCGTGATCTCATCAGAAGCTCATATTACATYACGCCAGCCAGGATTGGCTGGAAATCAGCCTGTCAGTGACAAGGAGGGCCACGACCCTCCCCCTATAAATAGGGCTGTTCCTGCACTGACAGGTTATTCAAAAAGATTATCACCTCTTCCTTGCAACGTTAGCTCAAGGAGGGTGACTTGGTGAGACACTCCCTCATGCTACTCAGAGAACCGGGGTTACGACAGTAACCTAAAGTTCTCTTTCATAGCATTCGTTTCGTGTCTCACATTGGGAATGAGCAATTGGGAACGAGCAATTGCACCAGTGATCCAGTGAGTAAACCGCTGTTTTGTTACCGGTTTCCCGCACTGATTTTTAGCCCAAGAGACAAACAGTTGGTCACTTTTTCTAACCTGTTTCATCTGGTCCATGTAGATATGTAAAACACGTACTGAGCAGAGTTTGTGTAGCCTCTCCTGCTCCTCAGAAGAGAACGGAGGAGGATTAAAAGCCACTAACTCAATAGGAGAGTAAGAACCCAACACCTTAGGCTCAAAAGCATGGTTTGGGAGCAGGTCACCTTAGAATTGTCCAAAGAGAATTTTGTGCAGGATGGGTGCACTGATAAAGCATGAATCTCACCCATACGCTTAGTAGAGACAAGTGCCAGCAAAAGTGCTGTTTTCAGCGCTACAAACTTTAATTCCACCTGATCCAGAGGCTCAAAGGGCRAAGTAGTGAGAGCCTCCAGTACCAGAGGAAGGTCCCATGTAGGGGTCATAGGTTTTGAGACAGGCAGTTTTCTGCGAGCCCCCTTCGTAAACCGACCTACTAAAGGATGTTGGCCTGCTATTTTTCCCTCGAAGCCTATGTGGCAGGCTGAAATAGCCGCCAAATAAACTTTGATAGTGGAGAAAGCTTTTCCCTTATCAATCAGGTTCTGTAAGAAAGACAAAATGACAGCTACAGAACACTGATAAGGAATCTCCTGAGAGTCGGTGCACTATTTCTCAAAAATGGACCATTTGCACTCATTCAGAGATCTTGTTGCAGGTGCCCGTGCATTCTGTATGGTCTCACTTACATTCTGTGGGAGCCCCGTGGATTGAAGGTTGAACCACTCACAGGTCAGGCCCACAGATCCAGCCTTTCTGGGTGGGGGGTGAAAGATTCGTCCCTGCGCCTGAGACAGCAGGCAGGCAGAGGCCAAGGCTCCTCCCAGAGAAGCTGAGTTATCTCTGCTAACCAGTGTTTTGATGACCAATGAGGTGCAATGAGAATCAYTGACAGGCCCTCTGACCTCACTCTGGCTAACGTTGGTGAGATGAGAGCTATGAGAGGAAAAGCATAAAGCAGGACCCGAGGCCACCTGTGGGCGAGTGCGTCCACCCCCAGTGGTGCATTCTGGTTGTGCAGGGAGAAGAACAGGGGACACTGATTGTTCTCTTGTGAGGCAGAGAGGTCCACTGATGGCTGTCCGAACCTCTYCCAGACCAGCCTGRCCACATCTGGRTGRRGTTTCCACTCTGCGTACAGAGGGTTCCCCCTGGAGAGAAGATCTGCTCCACAGTTCAGCACTCCAGGAACATGAGTGGCCCTCAGAGACAGGAAGTGTCTGCTGCTCCAGATGATCAGTTTGTGGGCCAGTGTGATCTCAGGCCCCCCTGCCTGTTGATATAAGCCACCACAGTGGTGTTGTCTGTTCTCACCAACACATGGTGACCTTCCAGGAGAGGGAAGTGTTTTAATGTTAGCTGAACAGCTAGCAGCTCCAGATAATTTATGTGGAAGGACTGCATTTTTTGGGCTCCAAGACCTATTCACAGTTTTCCCTTCACAAATACCTCCCCATCATGTCAGGGAGGCATCTGTTGTAATAACC